GAAACATCTGGGAAGGTAAGGAAGGTAAGAAAGCAAAAGTATTGTCACAAACTAAATTTTTATCTGAAAATTCTATTGAAAGTATCCCGAGTATGCTGAAGGCAATTTTCCATAGATAGAAAAAAAAAAGAAAGACTTGCTATAATATTTGGTGTGCGAAAATTGTATGATAATTTGTATGGCAGGAAATTCATATTAATAATTTATCATAATCCATTAATAAACATAGTCGGGGGCAAAAGTGTATTCCAATTTAGGCAGGTAATCATTTACAACGAGGGACATACGTTCTCTCATTATTTGATTTCGACATTTTCAGAATACAAATGTTACGGTCTACTTAAAGCTGAACGGCTAAAAAAATTAAACATGGAACATGCTTTAGCCGGCAGGCTCCTGAATGTTGATGATTTCTGAACTACAATCTTCTTGCGATTTACGACGATAATATAGTCTTAGTTATATATTCAGGCTATACGTTTGCATAACGAGGACGACTAGTTATTATTTCGATGGCATCTTATATGTTAATATACGTTTAATGTAGGCCCGCTACTTTCGTATATAAATTTATTGTCGTTATGTAGTATCGTTTTGCGGCTGGAGGGCCAAAGTTAAAGCATGTTCAATGCTAAATCATAGCCGATTTTTTGATAAAAATTAAATTAGGTGCGTCAAACTATAATAAGTTAAATTATGAATAAAAAACTAAATAAAAATAGTTGTAACATTCAATCAAGTCATTACTTCTGTTTATAATTCACGAATGACTTTGTAATTACCTTTGGTCGTATCAGCAGGAATAGTAGAAACTGTAACAAAAATTTAAAATATTTATACAATTAATCTAATCCGGTTGTTTTATTTATCTATAACAGAAAAAACATAACAAATTCAAAAACAGATTAATTTGCCCAATAAATCAGTTCAAAATAAATTATTAAGATTAAAGCAATAGCTCGTATGGACCTATTAGCTACCGTGTTTATGTGATAAACAAAATATAGATGAGGCCAATCTTTAATAGAGATAACTCGTTTTAGTCCAATACCACGAAGTAAGAAATCATAAAGGAAAGATTTACAGCTTCTGAAATAATATCATATAACCAAGGAGATGAGCCCAGTCAAGAAATAAAATAACTTTCGTTTGTAGGATTCAATGGTCCGCAGATAAAGCAATACTATTGAAAATATAAATGTCGTCTACATTCAAACGGCTCTTCAATAACATATTAAACAACAAGAACTAGTATTGTATTTTGTCTGTAGGTCATAAGTATTTGTTGACATAAAACATCAACTTTGTAATTTTGGTTTTATTAGCAGGCATAGGTTGTACTGGGACATATATATATATAAAACATATATAAAGTTATTTGTACCCAGTTGTTATATTATCCATAACAGTAACTCTAAAAATAAAATTACTTACACCAGCTAGTCATTTAAGTGTTTTTAAAATTTATATAATTGTTAATAATGTGTATACAAAATCATGTGTAAAGAAAATTTGATTGTTCAATCATATCATAAGTTATTTTTACTACTAATAAATAATTTTGTAATTACTTTGGTTACTATCATCATCCACCGGAATATCTGTAAAAATAATTAAAAAAAATAATTTAGTTATTCAATCTTGGTTTGCTGTATTTATCCATAACAGTTTCAATTAATCAATGTCAAATATAGTGTTAATATTAATTAACTATTGAATAACTTCGTATTTACTTTTAAGTTTACCAGCAGCGATACCTGAAATAAGAATTTAAAATAATTTCACAGCTACTTAACCAGGTTGTTATATTTATCTATAACAGTCACTCGAAAAATTAAATTTCTTAGACCAATAAGTCAATGCGAAATGCAAATAAATGTATTCCGTATACATTAAATTTGTTTGAAATACCAATATAAGTACTAATCTAATATTTTTGTAGATTGTTTGCTTTCACGCTTAAAAAATTGTTTACTAAAAATATTCACCTATAATTTTGAATATTTTCGGTTGCAAAGTATATTTTTCTATCGATATGGCATCTAAATTTGTATATAAAATAAACTTTTATTATGTACATTTATTCGTGTATTAAAAACCAAAATTTTAAATGTAATTCTTTGTGAAGCATTATAAATATTGAATTTGAAATGCATAGAAGTAAGAATTGATTACCTTGTAGAAGCTTAAAGTTGTAAGTTTCTGAACGTACTGAAATTAAAGTGATAAGGTTGTATATATAATGGTTATCAAAAGACTAGGTGGTAATATTATTATGGAATTATTACCCGGTACAGTGAACATTTGATTATATTCCTCTGAAATTAGCAATACAAAAAGTAATGGTATGGAATTTAATTTTTATTCTATCATAAACTAAAGTAGAAAAGTTAAGAAAAAATAATATTTGCATTTGTAATTCGGAACAAAATACTTAGCTCTATTATATTAAATACATTTGAAACCTAATGATATGACAAAGACTAAATTTAATCATATGGGGGAGTAGAACAAGATAAAAAAGTTTTTCAGCCTAGTCTGCAACCACGAAAGAGCATTTTCATGTCTCGTTGAAGCACCGAATAAACTTAGAGTAGTGGTGGAATTACATATAATGATATAGTGTATTAAGAAGCATTAACAAGCTAGTATATTAAAACATCAAGTTTCGGGCTAATATTGTCGTGTTTAATATTTGGCTGAAAACAATTCAGAGAGAATTTGGGCCCTTAAACTATTTTGATTTTATCATTTAGTTCTAATTTGAACGTTGAACGTACAACATATCTCTTATTTCTTATATCTTACTCCTATCTCCCACCCCCTATCATCCACCTCTATCACTCATCCTCTATTCCCATCCACCATCTCCTACCCCCTATCACTCACCCACTATCTCTTACCACTATCTCCCACCCTTATATCCTACCCCCATCCCCATCTCCGTTGTGGTAACGCTTTTTTCGTGGATCTAAGACATGAAAATATCAATAAAATTATTATCACTGAACATTAGCGTTAACCTTTTACTGTCCTGGACTTGCTATTATGCTTTAATCAACTAAATAACTATGAAACCTTTTTCCAGGATGGCGATGGTTGGTACTTGTTGCAGTGTGTAAAACACAATGGCGGTGAAAGGGTTAAAGATACATTTTTGTTGTTTTTTAAAATACATTTCTTCTAAAACTAAGATTTTTTTTTTGTTATCACATAATTATTATTACTCATTTCATATTTTTCTGTATCTATCATGACTGTAAGTACATGCTCCAATCCATCTAGAACAAACAAATAAAGGTTTGACCAATAGAAAAGTTCCAAATAAAATCAAAATGAACATAAAAATCATTAAAAAAAATACACCATATGTTACCGACTACCCCTGTTGGGGTAAATAGTAAATTTTTAGAATCAGGTGTGCTCATAGTATTTTATAGTAACTTTTAGTGAAGGCTCGTGCCCATGTGCGATAGTGCATAGACTCAATCGAGAATATTAAACTACCACTTTAAGAAGATGGCACTCCGCTCATGTTTTAAAAAGTTGAGTGTTGGAAATTATTTATAACATTTTAACATAACATAAGTTCATAACTTTCAGGTGTTAAAGTTAACTTTTTTTTTTAAGTCATTTTTTGGAAACACTGTACCATGAAAGTAAACTCATATTTGTATACAGTAAGAATGCAGGTGCGGCGTCCGCTCAAATATGTAAATACATTTATATTTAATTTACAAATAATTTGACACTTAAGTAATCATTGCACAACAATTTTATACTATTATATTAAAATGTTTCTTACTTCCATTAGCGACTTTATGTTCAGTAGCTTCTTGGAGTTGCCCGTCTGTAGTAAATGTTTTTAAAAAATTGGTATGTATAAATTTAGTAAAATTTAAGAAATAACAAAGTTATTCAGTATAATTATAAAATATTACTTACTTGAAATTTCAACCGACTCTATATAGTCCACTGTAAAGAAAAGTTAAATATTTTTTTTTTTTTTTAGAATTTGATCTATTTAGTGTGTGTAAGTATTAAAATAAAATAATTACTTATACTTATATCTCCCAAAACATTTACGCAGATAAATAATAATAAAATACAGGAAATTTTCATTTTAATCTGAAAAAATAAATTTTTGGATTGTCCGATTACTTGTGTGGAATTTTTTTTTAATGTGTTGTGTAGTTGAATCGAGTGTATTTTGGAACGGTGTAGTTATAGATTGATTTATAAAAAATACAGGTTCCACATAAAGTCAGTTAGATGTATTATTAAAAACCAGTACAGTGGGGTTGGCGCATAGTGGGACGGAGCATAGTTGGGTCGGGGCATATTGAGAACGGTGAAGTCACACTCTTAAAGACATTTTTAATCTGAAAGTGATAAAATCACTTTCGAAAAAATGTTTAGATGCAAATCGGTAGTTAGTATTTTCAAGCCAGTACAGTCCAAACCAAGCACAGTATAAACCAGCAAAGTAAAGAAGTATTAAATTAAGGTGCTGTATTTACAAATAAGCATCAAAGCGTTTATTTTATTCAATTTTAATTATTTTCTTTATAATTATTCATGTAGACCTATAGCCTCCCCGTCCCCACTATGCAACGACCCAACTATGCTCCGTCCCCAACATGCCCCGACCCCACTGTACTGTTTTTTTTTTAAGATTTTAGGTGTTTTTGTTAAAACACGCAATCTGCGAAAACACAGTTTTCCAGCAATTAAAAAGAAACTGTTGTGCCGAATTTGTTTTCCGTTTAATATGTAATGAATATATATGAGTTCTAACTACTGACAAATTTTCAACTTATAGGTCCTATTACGGCTAAAAAACTATAAAAACAAAAAAAGTTGAACCCCCTCTAGGAGGTTGGGAAACGGATTTAATTTTAATTTGAGACAACTGACGTGTGCGGGCATACCAAATTAATATCCCTTATACATTTCAATTCGATCCGACTCTTTTTCTCGAAATTATAGCCAGAAAAAGTTCTAACTTAAAAACTCGTACGGTTATTTTTTGTTTTGATTTATAGAGTTGCTACTCGAAGGAATTAGTTCAGTATTAAAAAAGTTACAGTGTATACAGATAAAAAAAAGCCCACATCAGAGTAAAACCTTCGCCGCTCTGCATCGCAGATAAAAATAAAAGCAAACATTTTTATGATATAATCGAAATAGAAAAATATTTTGGACGAAAAAGTCCTTAGATAATTAACTACCTAACTAAATTTATTTTTTATTTTAAGACTAATTTAAAGTACAAGATGAAAAATAGCTTGAACTTGAGTTGTATTTTAAACATACAAAAATTGAAATACAATTTTGCATCATGGAAGTGCATTTAAAATTTAATATAAGTACTGTTGTTATTTTATTTACAAAGCTGTTTTTACTACCGATGCCAAGCTAGGTAGTATTCCTATAAAATGTGTGTTTTCTTTTTTAATCTTGAAACACGATAACATGTTTTACTATGGCTCGATTTACTTTAGGTATGTCGAATTGCCTATATGATGTCGACCTATACACTGCAATGTGTATATGTTTTTGTGAATTTTTTACCATACGCAACATAGTCGTTGTTCGATTTGACTAACATAGTTACATTATTCCTAATCATAGTTTAAACGTTTTACTAACCATTTATTGAATTTACAAAAACAAAAGCCATCGTTAAAGCGGTGGGACATATCAGACACGGAGAGTAATCACTATTTGGTTTTTTAGGTTTCTGCGATAATAACAATACTACAAATCTGTATAAATACAGGGTGATTTTTTTTATCATAGGCCACTCAATATGTCGTAGGGTTAAATAAGAAAATTAATTTTTTTTTCATATTGTTTTTATACAATATGTGATCTCAATTTTTCACAATTTTTTTTAATTCGACCCCTTCCTAACTTAGTTTTTGTTTATAGCGGCTTTTGAAACTCAAATGGTAAATTTAGTATACGTTTAAAAAATTTGAATGGTTGATAACCAGTTTTGGACAAGTATTATTAAAGTTATAAGAGTTTAGAAAACAGGGTGGAAAAAGAAGTGGGTTGGGAAAATTCCGGCAATTAAAAAAACACTATACTCTACCTTTCCTCTTGCACTGATAAAAAAAGATCCTTTATAATGATATATTAGCTAACTTGTATATATATATATATATATATTTTTATATATATATATTTATTTATATATATATATATATATATATATATATATATATATATATATATGTGTATACCTAAGCGAACTTTGCATCAACATGTTTTTATGAGATTACGAACAATAAAACAACAAGCACCCATGTGAACTAAGTAATACAGTGTATAAAATAGGTGTTTTACATAAGATGGATCATCCGGTATAATGTTTATTTAGAGTATGTGCGGTATGGATGAAAACTTTTATCATAAACAAAGCAGCAAGAAACTATGAACAATGTTCTTTTAAATTTTAAATTACGACTACGTTCTACTTCTATGTACATTTTGGTTGTCCATATTTCGGCATTATAGAAAAAAAAAAAATATTTTTCAGCGTTGTTAGTTTATTTACAAAGCTGTTTTTTAGCATCGATGTCGAGCTAGTAGAATTCCTATAAGGTGTGTTTTTTTGTATCTGCTAACACAATACTATGTTTTACCATGGCCCGATTTACTTTAGATATCCGAAATTATATGTGATTTGGTGACTTTGGCGAGTCAAAAGTAGAAAAAGTCAACTTCTTCACCACCAAAACGGATAAAAAACTATAAAAAAAGCTGACAGTTTTTCAACTTTCTATAACTTAGCGAAACACTGTTGAATCGAGTCAAAATTGTAAAGAATGTCTATTAGCCATGCCCCTATATTCAAAAAACCTCAAACCTAATTTTCAATATTTCTGCACTCTTCCGCAGAATTTAATTTTTAATAATTGGTATTTAATACATTTTTTGTTATAATACTTACTTATGACCTTGATGTATAGTGAAATAGGACTATTGGAATAAATGTTATCGAATGTTGTCTATACGCTGAAAAAATATTAAA